CCAGTGGCACACAGGACCATGCCCACAAAGAGGTTTTCCAGTGGGGAATCAGGCCTGCATTGTACCCAGACTGCTATAAGACTTGATTTTGCTAAAACTCCCTCACCCTGAATTGAGGCAGAAAGTGCTTACTGCAGCTTCTTAAAATCTGAGCTAAACCTCCCAAGTATGGAGTATGACCAGTTGGACCACTTTCCCCCTTGGTCTGCAACATCCTTCTCTTTAAAGTAATTAGAAACATTCTTTCCTTTGTTATCTGAAAAAGGTAATCACCTACAGCAAACCTGTGCACAGTAAATGAGGACTACCCTGCATGTAATGTACCCAGAAAAGCCTGTCCAGGCAGGGGCCTCTGGCCCTCTCACCCTCTCTCTCTCAGAGAGTGGCCATGCCGTCCCTTTTTCTCCACAGGACTTCTGTTGTCCATGTGTATTTGTTCACTAGCAGCCACAACACACGCGGATCCTGCAAGCCAGGATCCGCATCATAATTGTACTGTTATATACTGGCATTTAAACTGGAAAAAAAAAATTAAGGAAACAGTGTTATTCACAATAACGTCAAAACAAAATATTTAGGAATAAATATAACAAAAGTATAACATTACTACTCTGAAAACTACAAAACATTGTGGAAAGAAATTTTGAAAAGCTCTAAATAAATGGGAAACATTCCATGTTCATGGACTGGAAGATAACATTGTTAAAAAGGCAGTATCTCCAAACTGATCATATATTCAACACAATCCCTATCTGCTTTCCTTGTAGAAATTGCCAAGCTGATACCAAAATTCATATGGAATTATATAGAATCCAGAATAGCCAAAATAATAATAATAACAACAACAACAACAACAATAATAATAAGACAAAGGTGGAGGATACAACAACAACAACAACAATAATAAGACAAAGGTGGAGGATTCACACTTCCCAATTTCAAAATTTACTACTACAAGGCAAAGATAAGCAAGAAAGTGTGGCACTGACACAAGGATAAATATGTAGATCAACAGAATAGAACTGCAAGTCCAGGAATAAACCCAGATATCTACAGTCAACTGATTCTTCAAGAAGGGTGCCAAGCTCATTCAGTGAGAAAGGAATACTCCTTTTTAACAAATGATGCGGGGACAACTGGACATTCGCATGGAAAATAATGAAGTATTGTACCCTTACTTCACATGATATTAAAAAAATTAACTCAAAACAGATCAAAGAGCTAAATGAAAAGTTAAAACTGGAAAACTCTTAGAGGAAAATGTAGGGCTAAATCTTCATTACCTTGGATTTGGCAAAGGATTGTTAGATATGATACCAACAGCAGAAGCAGCAAGAGAAAAAGTAAGTGAGGCTTCATCAAAGTTAAAGATCTTTTCTCTTTAGAGGATACCTTGTTTTTATAAGAATACTCTTTATATGTTATCTATTAAATCAGCCTTATTACTTGCATTCCCAGATGAATTTTGAACTTTGCTTTAAAATTTTTTTCATTTCTATGACCTAGTACAAGCTAAGTACGTGTATTCAAGCTCCTTACTACTAGCCTGTATTGTCCATTTCTTCACTAAGAAATTGTCCATTTCTTTCTCTCAAGTTTTGGACAGTTTATGGATGGCTTTGCACTCTTCCTCCCATGAGGAAATTTCTCTATCCCCTTAAGCACCTTTGGCATAACAATACAGCATAACAGTTGTTTTTGGATAATTCTGTAACTTCATTCTTTTATAAGGCAACATAAACTTCATTACTGATGATGCTCCCATTTTTGTTTTGTGTATTTTTATGCTCTTTCATGTTTAAATATTCATGTGTATGATCTCATTGTGAATTGCAAAGCAGTATTAAAACATTACTCCTTAATTCCCGTAACACTTTTGGCATTGAATTTTATCTCTCCTATATTAATATCATGCCTCCATATTTTTTCATATGTCTCTAGTTTTCTTTTTATTTTCAACCCTTCTGAGTCATTTTATTTTCAATGTGTCTGTTATATACAGTAGGAATGAGTTTGTTTTTTAAACTAACATGAGGTTTTTTAAACTAATATGAGTTTTCTTAAATAGGTGAATTTACCCCATATATTTATTTATATAGGCTCATATACTCTCCATTCTCTCATTTTATATTTTTTCATTTGTTACAAATTTAATGTTTTCTTTTATTCCTCCCTCCACACCCCTGCTGCTCCTATCATTTTACTAAATATTTTTTATTTTAATTGTTGTTCAATATACCATTTTACTAAATATTTTGAATGTTTTATAATTTAACTCTTTTAGAGGTAACTTATAATTTTTAAGCATTATACTTACATATGTATTTCTTGATTCATCAACTTTAAAGATGAAATCAGCTCACTTACATTTCCTTTGACTTCCATTTACTCTGCCTGTCCCCTTGCTGATTTTCTTTTTGCTTTTTCTCCATGCTTTTCCTGCATGGATGCCTATACAATTTGTTCTTTTCCTTTGAAGTTCAGTACTATCACCAACATACATTTGGGTGTTGATTATTACATATAAATTTTTCCTAGGACTTGGTATATCCTTTGAAATTGCAGGTTCAGCTTTCTTTATACATTTTTTCTTTTCTTGTTACCTTCTTTAGAAATACCAACAGACATCATTGTGTTGAGCTTTCACTCAGTCCTGAAATTATTATTTTTTCTGATTGTTTTCATCTTTTTCTATTAATTGGTATAATTTTTCTCCTTCAATTTGTTCTCTCATGTCCTTATATTTCATCATTATCTCAATTTTTACTTAATATATTTCATGTCTTCTAGAATTATTTTTTGTTCTTCTAGAGTATACTTTTACAGAGTAGATTCCCATCTTTTCCAAACTATGTCTCCTATACTACCCATTGCAGAGCTGCGATGTTGTTTTTATATCTTAAACATTTTTTACTGTAGTAAAGAACATATATTAAATTTAACATTTTAGCCATTTTAAGTGTATAGTTGTATTTTCACATTGTTATACAACTGATCTTTAGAACATCTTTATTTAAAGATTTTATTTATTTATTTTTAGAGAGAAGGAAAAAAGACAGAGAGGGAGAGAAATATCTTTGTTCAAGAGAGAAACAGTTGCCTCTCAGACTCCCACAGCCAGGGACCTGCCCTGCAAACCAGGCATGTGCCCTGACTGGGAACTGAACTGGAGACCTTTCAGTTTGCAGGCTGGCACTAAACACACTGAGCCACACTGGCCAGGGCTGGAACACCTTTATATTGCAACACCGAAACTCTATATCCACTAAACACGAATTCTTCCACCCTCTCCTTCTAACAGCAATCACTTTTCTGCTTTATATTTCTGTAATTTTGACTGCTTTTTATATTTTATGTAAATGGAACATACAGTATTTTTTCTGTTGTGATTGGCTTATTTTACTTAATACAACATCTTTGAGGTTCATCTACACTGCAGCATGTGGCAGGATGTCCTTTTTTAAAGCTGCATAATATTTAACTGTATGTTTTTATCACATTTTCTTTATTCATCTGTTGGGTTGCTTTCATATTGTGATTAATTTGAATAATGCTGACATGAGCATGGGTGTGTAGACATCTCTGAGATCTGCTTTGATTTTCTTTCTTTTTAGATACATACCAAGAAATGAGATTGCTGAGTTATATGCCAAATATATTTTTAATTTTTTTGAGAAACCCCCATATTATTTTCTACAATGGCTGCACTCTTTTATATTCCTACTAACAGTGCACAACAGTTCCAATCTTTTTGCATCTTTCCAACAACTGTTAAATTTCTATTCTGATAGCGGTCATTCTAATGGGTATAAAATGGTATCCCACTGTGGTTTTAATGGACATTTCTCTAATAATTAGTAAAACTGAGCATCTTTTCATATGCTTATCAATCTTTCATACATCTTCTTTGGAAAACTGTCTATTCAAATCCTTTGCCCATTTTAAGTTAGACTTCTCTGTTATTGTTGAATTAGAGAAGTCCATATATAATCTGGATAATAAACAGCATGATTTATGAATACTTTCTCCCATTTCATAGGTTGCCTTTTCATTCTAATGTGTCCTTTGATAGTTTTTAATTTGGTATAACTTATTTTTTATTATTTTCCTTTTGTGGCATGTCATTTTGGTGTCATTATCTAAGAAATCATTGCCAAAATCCAAAGCCATAGAGCTTTCCCCCTGTTTGCTGCTAAGTTTTATAATTTTAGCTCTTATGTTTAGACTTTTGATTCCTTTTGAGTTAATTTTTATATGTGGTAAAAGGTAAGCATCCAACTCCATTCTCTTGAACATGGATGTCCAGTTTCTAACACCATTTGTTGAAGACAATGTTTCCCCCCTACTATGTAGTTTAGGCATCCATATGGACAATGATGTATCTTATACATCCTTAATGTGATCAGCTGTCCCTTGTACTATTTTCAAAATAAAATATGGATAGATTATAGCTTGTTGACTCCTTTCTTTTATCTGGGTACTGTTCTCTATCTTTCTCGAAGAGGTAAAGTACAACAGGCAGGTAGTAATGGTTTGTGTCCTCTGAGCTTTTCTTCTGTTAGAAAAATGGGGCCATGAATAAACATAGATAGATACGGTCTTGGCTTTTTTTACTGTAATTTTTTCAGAGTTTGTACTGAGATTCTTTCTGTCTTTGTTACAGTCTTCTGGAATACTTTTACGTTTTTCCCTGAGTCAATACTGAGACATAATACTTCACTTGTAATACTATCAAATATTTATTTCCAATCTTGTTTCTAAGTAGCTAATATCTTTTCCTAGGTATATCAATTTTACAAATCAATATGTGTATCCACGTAAACAAAGTAGTAATGAAGTAATTTATAACTTACATATGAAAGCAAAGAAAAAAAAAGAGAAATGGGTATTTGTTTAAATCATGAGGCTATATTCTCATCAAAATGAAACAAAACAAAACAAACAAACCCAAAACCAGTCATAGCACCACCCCATACACACATACATCCCAATCCCATTACCTTCAATATTTATCTGCAAGGATTCTTTATCTTCTGTCCAAGCTTCCTTAGGAAATTTCCTCTTACTATGGATCTCCTCTTTCTGTTTAATGGCTTTAGTGTCTGGCAGCCTTTGAATCTTTGTGTCCTGTCGTTGAGACGAGAGCTTTGCAGCAACAGCATCACTGGAATCTAAGAAAGAGGAATTAACATTCTATTCAAATAAGAATTTGACAAAAATGTTTTAAAATACTTCTCCAGCATCTATTATGTGAATGCAATTATTACTGGTGTTGAAAAAAATTAAAAAGATCAATCAGGAATGTTTTTAGAAACTGCCCTAAATTGGAGTTTACAAAAATGTACAAAAAGAAACATCATACAAAATAATTACACCATAAGAGAAAGACAGATAAAGAAACGTAAGTACTCAAAGGAAGAAAAACCAAGTCCAGCTAGGAGAACCATACAAGACCTCTGGAGTAAAGTCAACTAAGTTTGCTGTTAGAAGATGGCTGAGAAATTTCCAGTAAAGACGATGGTGTAGGCAGACATGGATGGCCTTCTCGCACACCTTCATCAAAATTACACCTATATTATAGAACATTCACTTAGAACTGTTAGAAACTGAATTGAATGGACCTCTGATAACTATGGATTAAAGAAACCACATCCACCCAGACTGGTAGGAGGGGTGGAGACATGGAACAGCCTCGTCCCACATCCACACGCGGTAGATAAGGATTCAGGAGGGATATTTTGGGAATGATGAGTTCCGTCCCAGGGTTCCAGTGCCAGAAAGCTAAGTCCCCATAACTTATGGCTGCAATAACAAGGAGGGATTGAGTTAGTGGAAGAAACTGCTAAAGACCCAAGTAGTTCCTGTTAAAGAACTCGAACAAGGGAATCTAAGTAAGATTCATTCCCTGAGCTCCAGCACCAGGGTAGCAGCTTGAGAGGCACCAGCGCATACAGGGAGGAACTGAACCATCTGGCATCAAGGTGAGAGTGGGGGACAGCTTTCTCCCAGACAGAAAGGTGGACAGAGGTCATTGTTTCTTTTCTGAATCCTCCTTCCACAGAGCCACAGAGTTGGCAGGCAGGTGCCTTATCTGAAACTCCAACCCAACCCTGGGGATTCCCCGAGGCTCTGCCCTACCCCAGTTATGGTGCACCCAAGCTGTTAACAGTGACTTTTCCATGTGAATGGCTGACCTTGGGTCATGCTTCACAACTTTCTAAATCCTTTCAAACATTGGCAACAGCCAGCCTCAGTGAGCCCATGGACCCATACCTCTTGCTAAGTGGCTTCAGGCCTGGCACTAGCGGCAGCCAGCTTAGATTCACAACTTAGCTTCACCTGGGAATCTCCAAGCCCAGCACAAGTAGCAGCTATCTTAGACTGCTTTACAGCTCATGTAGTGTGGCCCCAGGCAGAACTTAAGTAGGAGCTGACCTTGGCCTGTACCACCAGGGAAACTGTAGGGCCTGCACACCCAGTGGATAGCTATAGACCACGGTGGAGCACCACCACCCTGCCTCTGCACAGCAGATCCTCCATGAAGGGTGGGGATTGGTGGTCAGTGGCCATAGCCAGTCCTTGCAGCCTACTAGCCTGGGTAAATACCTCCCACTGACCTGCCAATAGCAACAAAGGCTTAACTACAAGAGAAGGGTGTACTCAGTCAACATGAGGGCACACCTGGAGTACCCAGCTTAGGTGGCATGGTAGGCTGTGCCACTGGACCCTATAGGACACCTACTACATTAGGCCATGATACTAAGACAGGGAGTCAGTAGCTGTATGGGGAGGCCACCAAAGAAACTTGGCTGAAATGAAAGAACAAATGAAAATACTGTTTATAAGAATGTTCAATGAACTTAGTGAGGATAACAACATAAAAAAGATCCAGTCAGAAACAAAGGATATACTAACTGAAATACAGAACAATTTGCAGGGAAACAACAGTAGAGTGGATGAAGCCAAGAATCACATTAATGATTTGGAACATAAGGAAGCAAAAAACAACCTATCAGAACAACAGTAAGAAAATAAAATTAAAAAACAAAAACTAGCAACACCTGAGGATAATGTACGCAGCCTCTAGGACAATTTCAAGAGGTCCAACATTCGTATCATAGCAGTGCCAAAAGGAGATGAGAAAGAGAAAGAAATTGAAAATCTATTTGAAACAATAATGAAGGCAAACTTCCCTAATTTGGTGAAGGAAACGGATGTGCAAGTTCAGGAAGCACAGAGAGCCCCAAACAAGATGGATGCAAAGAGGCCCATTCCAAGACACATCATAATTAAAATGCCAAAGGTTACAGATAAAGAGAGAATCTTAAAATGAGCAAGAGAAAAGCACTTAAGTTACCTACAGGGGAGTTTCCATAAGACTGTCAGCTGATTTCTCAAAAGAAACTTTGCAGGCTAGAAGGGATTGGCAAGAAATATTCAAAGTCATGAAAAGTAGGGACTTACAGCCAAGACTGCTCTACCCAGCAAATCTATCATTTAGAATCAAAGGGCAGATAAAGAGCTTCCCAGACTAGGAAACACTAAAGTAATATTAATCACCAAGCCATTATTAAGTAAAATGTTAATGGGACTTATTTAAGAAAAAGATCAAACTTATGAACAATAAAATGGCCATAAATACAAACCTATTGACAACTGAATCTAAAAAAACAATCTAAGCAAACAAGAAGAACAGACAGAATCATGGATGTGGAGAGTGTTTTGATGGTTGCCAGTAGGAAGGGGTGGAGGGAAACTGGTGTAGAGGTGAGCGGATTAGGAAGTACAAGTTGTACTTACAGAATAGCCATGTGGATATGAAGTACAGCATAGGAGATGGCGTAGCCAAAGTACTTATACACATGACCCGTAGACATGAACAATGACCTGGGGATTGCCTGAGGGAGTGGGGGAGTGGGTTAGAGGCAAGCAAAGGGGGAAAAACTGGGACAACTGTAATAGCATAATCAACTAAAAAAGTAATAAAAAAGATAGCTGAGCTGGGATACACACTAAGATGAAAGTACAAAGACATTTTAAGGCAGAGATGACTACATAAGAATAGAGTCAGGAAAGCAACTGAGCATCTAAGAAATAGAGCAAGTGTATGGTTTGATTATAGAATCTATAAGAAACAGGTAAAAATTAGCATTTGAAAATTTGAGAGCTGACTCTACTGTTCTGAAAGACTATGCTAAAAGATAAGTTTTTTCTTAAAGGCAATGAAAAGTTTTTGATTAGATTAACATGGTCAAAAGTGTTTCTGGAACACTGAAAAGGGGAATAAAATTTTGAAGTGTTGAGCAGAATACAATATGAGTTTTGAAAAGTAAAACAAAAATAGAGACAGGTGGCTACTTATGCTCCAAAATATTTTTCTGCTTACATTGTGGCATACTGCCAGCTGTCCTCTGAAATCCATTCTCCTTTTCCTTTAAAATAGACCCCCGATTTAGCTGGATTCTACTGGAATAAAGGTATTCCCCAGCCTCTGTGGCGGCATAGCCCTGGTGAGACAAAATCTGTCCAGTAGCACGGAAAGGAATACTACATGTAAGTACTGAGGAATAGTATCAAGAAGGACGATGGCTTTTTCTTCCTCTTTCTTCCTTTCTGCTGGCTGGGGTAAGAACCAGATGACCAGATGATGACAGCATGATAACGGAGGCTAAAAATGTTAGAGTCACAGAAGACCAAAAGCTTTGTTTCCTGACAGTATGGAGTACCATGTTATCCCTGGATGTCTACCTCTGGGTTTTTACAGGAAAGAGAAAAAACTTCCTGCTTTCTTTATACCAATGTCATTTTGTTTTTGTTTTCATCCCTCAGAGTCACAACTAACCCTAACCTAAACATGCTATATTATAGACACTATTAATTAGCATAGTCCCATCAAAGTAAACTAAATGGACAGCTAATTAAGAAAGTAAACAAGCTAAATTCCTAAAGCACGATGTTAGAAAGTCAGCATCTCATGGCACTGAATTTTTAAAAAATGTCCATTGTGTGAAATTCTGTGAATGAAATTGTGTACTATATTCACAAAATTCTCTACGAATGTCTCAAAAAGCTTTAAAAATGTTTTATAAAACAGTTGATTTTATACCTGTCAATGTATAATAAAAATTACAGCTAATATTTATTTCACATATGAGCAAGATAGAGAACGGTTGAAGAGAGCAAAAAGAGAATAGAGAACACTGTTCTGTTTATTCCCATTTCAGAAGGCCAGATAATTCAGTTCAGCTACCTGAAGTGTCTTTCTGCAAGTCTATTTCTTCAGATTGGGCAGGCTTAGTCACTGCCTTTTTATTGCAGATCTCCTTTTTCTTGTTTTTGTCTGAGAGGTTCTCATCTTCACTGATAAGAACTTGAACTTGGGCATCTGAAATAACATCATTTGACACCACAGAGAAAGAAAAGATAATAAATACAAATGGCAAATAACCCTACTCCCCCTACCCCAAAACCCCAAACTGCCTTACATATCAGGAAAAAAGCACCTCTTAGGCCTCATGATGTAAAAGCTGTGACAGTTATGGTGTATTTATGACATGAACTGGAAAGCTTTTTGTATTTTTCTGTGTACAACAATAAAATATCACTTTAAATAGAATCAGTCCTTGAAGTTTGATGCAGTAAATGAAACTAAGTCTAGATAGGTATCATTTTCAAAGTAAAAAAGTATTTTTGACTAACCCTTTCAAGTTCTTTGGCCTACTCAAAGTTTTGGTTACTTATGGAGCCAGTTTTGATATTCCATATAATGCTAGAAAGTACTTATATCATGTACATCTTATACATAGTACTCATATAAATTTTAAAATCTCAAGTTACAGCCTTTTAAACTTGTCTAATACTTTCAAATTTCTTTTTTTTCTTGGTCATACTTTCCAGAGATTTATCTGTCTTATTGGTCTTTTAAATCAACTATGTACTTTATTATATGAGAAAATGTAAGCATAAATTAATATGTTAGTAAATATAATCAAAATTCACCAATATAACTAAGGTACCAGTCATCAGTTAATAATGGTTAAGTTTTTATAATGGGTTAACAAGAAAACCATTTCCTCTCTATGTATGAATATTTTTTAACAAAGAAATCAGAAAGGCAATACAGATTACTAAAAATATAACACAATGAACAGCTATATGTCTACCAAAGAGCTTAAGAAAGAAAACATTATAGATATAATAATTATAATAATTCTATGTATGAAGCCACAATGATTCCATTCTTTCTTTTCAGTAGCAAATTTTACATGGAGTTCATCAGTCTCAAGGACTGATTTCTATTTGTTTTACTACATTGCATGAATTAATCAACATTGTACAGGATTGTTCTGCATGTCTTTAAACTTTATGTAAATGGTATGATACTTTACGTACCTCTAGGCAACATGCCTTTTCACTCAATATTAAGATTTGGGGATTTACTCACACTAATATGAGTATATATGGCTCTAATTAATAGACCTTCTGTTGTCTCTTTGGAACATCTGTTTTTTTGAGATTGACTCTTTTGAGCTAATCTAAATTTTCTTTCATTTTCTCTTTTCCCCTTTTTATGTTCTATTTCCTAAGCAATTTCTCATTTTTATATTTCAATTCTTCCACTGAGACTTTTATTTCTCATATACCAAACACAGCCCAGAGGTGAGTTATAGCTGGCGAGTTCTTTATATGATGGCTTCTAATAGAGATCCCCTAGTCTATCACTTTGTTCCCTACAGAATTTTCCATATCCTCCCTGTCCTTCAACTGACTGTCAGTGGGATCGAAGGGTTACCTATGTACACCAAATTGCCACTAGTTTGTACCAGATGACAGATAAACTCATCAGGCAATTTAATCAAGATTTTCTATGGATTCTAGTCTCTAAAACATACTCTACTGGATATTATTTCATTTCAAAAGTTGTAACATACTTTATTTTCCATAGTAAGAATAAAATTTACAGGTTTCAAAAATCTGTGAAGCATCTTCAAGATTTTATAAATATTCTACCTTTTTCTATATACCCATAAAATAACTAAGAAAAACGTTTATATAACAAAGCAATAAGAGACTGGATAATATCCTTATTTAAAATGAATGGGAAGCAGAAGCCACAAAATATACGAAGCCAATCCAGGTACCTGCATTATCTTTCCGAAAAGGTTTTTGCCCTGCCAATGAGGATGCCTTGGTCGCTGCCCTCTTACTGTAGATCCCCTCTTTATGTTTAATATTAACAGGAAGTGCTACGTCATCATCTCTGGTGCCTAGCACCTGAGCTGGGAAGTGTGGAGCAATGGCATCATTGGATCCTGAGAAAAATGGGAAAGTAGTACAATTAACACAAATTTAGACATGAAGTTGAAGACAGGCAAAAATTTACCTCTTAACCCACTTAAATAAAAAAGGCACTATAATGGGAGTGTGTAGGGTGATCAGAAGGAGACGTCAAACTGAAGGTGTTAGACATGTACAATGAACTGCAACAATATACAGTGGAGAAACAAACAAGAAGGAATATAAAGTAACTAATAGCTCAGAAGGGAGACAATTTCCAGCTCAGGAAGGTTTTCAGAGGAGGGAGAAAATAAATTGTACCTTGGAAAGTAAGTGGGCTTTTTGAAAAACACAGAGGAAGAAATAAAGACATTTTAGGCAGAGGTTACAGCATTAGCAGATAAGGAGGCAGGAAAGCAAAGAGTATATAAGAACAGCAGACACATCTGTGGTCAGGCTAGATTATAGAATACAAGAGTACATTAAAAAGAGTGGTGGGAAATATTAAAAATAATTGTTCTGTACAAAATTCAGCCTGGCATGGAATTCCAAGCTAAAGAGCATAAATTTTATTGTACACAAAATACAGTATCATCAAAATTTTTTAATAAAGGAAAATAAAATCAGCTATGTTTTTAGGAAGATTTATCTGACAATACAAGAGATGAAACAGTGAAAGGAAGCTCATGTGATAAAGAAATACAAGATTTAAAACTATTTAAAAAAAATTTCAGTGCTCCTGTATTCACTGAAAAATTATCTATGCCACATATAAGGGACGAAAGAATATCTCTGGACAGCTAAGAGTTTGCAGTAACTTTAGAATTATCTTGTACAAATGTTTCTTCTTTCTAATCTGGGATTCTGTACTTCATGCATTTTCTGAGCACCTAAAAATGTATATGCAAGAAAAGCTGGGTACGCATCACTGTTATCAGTATAGTGCAAGTATTTAATACATCAGGAAGAATTTTTCAAGACAGATTGCAAGGATCCTTTAAGCCTTATTAGTTATGGTACTGATTATATTTGGATTTTTCTCAGTTTCTATGGCATCTCTTTCTCTTATTTGTTCCCTACCTCTCTGGCAAATCCCTAGTATCTTTTCTTCCACCAAATCTCTCATTGTAGGAGTTCATCAAGGGTCAGAACTGGACTTTCTTCAAATCCTGGGTGAAATTAGATTACCAATGTATGAAACACTCACTGTCTATATGCTGATGACCAACAAATACATGTCTCTAACTGGGACCTTTCTTCTGAGCTTCAGATTCTAGCATTCAGGACACAGCTAGCCCTTACAGCATTTTACGAAGAAATGAGAAAAGCAGTCCCTTCCTCAATTACAAAAAATTTAAGGTATTATATATTATGCTAGAATATAAGCAACTATACATGGGGGTCACTTCTCACAACTACTTCCAGATAACACACACTGCAAAAGCAGCATACACCTGCACATTCTTCACCACCTTTACTACCACCTTTCATTCTCCAAGACGGGTGACTATGTCAGCTTCAGAGTCAAGTGGGGAACAATAACTAAGTTCCTGAGAGCAGTGGATGGATGAGCAAGTGAATCAATCTCAGTGGAGCTGAGAGGCATCTGATAGAGCATATAAATGTGTGTGTTAATGAGTGTGTGTATACTTGTTTTCCTGCATCTTTGCACAGCTGTAGGATGTGTAAAGGCACATTTGTGTTTGGGGCAGGAATAGTTAACATTGCTGTTCCACGTCTCTGACAGGAGGTGTTGAACCTTCATGCCCACCTGTGTGTTTTCATAAAACAACAGTATGTTTATGATGTGAATAGTGCCACTGTCTTTGTGCTGCCCTGGCATAAACCTCGACATTTGTAAAGTGACAATACCTACATTCAATTGCAGATCTAATATTCTACGTGGATGTGGAACAGGAATCTCATGATAACATGAGCAAGGCAGATATTTTGATCATCTTCCTCAAATCTGCTACTTCCCTAAGACTTCTCCATTTCAGTAAATGGCATTTCTACTCACCCAACTGCTTGCTTACTATATAACACTAAGAGTCATTTTTTTACATCCTTATGCCTCACCACATTCTATCACCAAGTTCAGGAGGAATTCCTTCGTAAAAGTAAATTGACTGTATCTACTTCTCTCCATCTGTATTGCCATCACTCTCTAACCCGAGATATTACCATCTCTGGTACTGACTTCTAATTGGTGTCCTCACTTCCTGACCCTCCCTACTATGGCTCCCTGCCTTCCCATGCTATTCTCCAGAATAAATTTCACAAATGTAAATGAAACCACAATTGCCTACTAGATATTCAAATGCTTTAACATGGTTTACTCTAGACCCTTTATAATCTTGGACCTACTTATATTTAACCACACCTAGCCACCACTCTGTTCTACCTACACTGCCTTTTTCTCATTTTTCAAATGTATTGAACTTCCCTGCTTCAGTAACTTTGGCATACTGTTCCCTCTGGTCAAAATGCTCACTCTCCATCCTGCCTTCCTAACTCATATTTATTCTCCAGAACTCAGCTCAAATGTTTCTTCTGTCTTGGAAAATCCTACAGAAGCTCCTAAAATTAAACTCGATCTTCTTATTATGCTCTTAGGATTTTGTCTTTTCTTAGCACTCATCCTTTGTAAGCCTATACTTATTTGTGGTCTATTTGTTTAATTTGCTTAATCTATCTCTCCATTTTAACATGCACTCCCTAATCATAGGGGCCTCTTTTATTTCCCATACCCCTGAAATGTAGCACCTAGCACAGTAACTGCCAGGAACACAGTAAGAGCTTTAATAACTTTTGATTGAATAAAATAAATGAACATAAGCTGAAAGCTTTCTGTCACCTTAAAAAAAATCGACCTGGTTATCTTAGAAAAGTATGCAGAAAACAAAAAAACTCCTGTAATTTTGATTATATATCCTTGTAAGTGAACACATGAGATCACAATGTACAGTTTCGTATCTTTTATTCACTTAATAGAGGCATTTTGAATGGAATTTAGAATTTAAAGTCAGCACATAAATTGAAAAACCATGCAGGGTCAAAATCACCCTTGAAGGTTCCTAAAGAAGGCACCATATTGAAACTGACATCATGTCTGTTCAATAAATCCAGCAGAGTCCACTCTTTTCTCCTGGCTTGAGAATGAGTACCTGAAGAATTGCCTGGCTTAGGTTTAGAGGCCATGTTGCACCAAAAAGACACTTTTAAACTCTACAATCAGGGAAGTGGAATAAAGATAGGATGCTTAAACCATAAAAGGCAAATGAGGTCAATGAATTTTGAGAAAGGGAGGTTTCCCACCTCCCACTTCAAACTCCCTCGTGGTAACACGCCCTCAGAGTATAGAGCACAAAACACTTGCACTTTTTAAAATTCTTTCTTAAAATTCTTTTTTTTTTTTACATTTGTGGATTCTTTCTGTTAAGAAAACAAAGAGTACTAAGAGGGTAAGAGTATCTATTTTAGTTTTAGGAGTTCATGAAAGATTTTCCAAGAAGAAACTTTTTTTCTTTTTTGTTAAATATAAGTAACTGAATTTGCTTAAGTTAAATGCATGTGTGACAACGCCATTGTATGCTAATACTATTTTTATCACGGCTACAAACATTTCATTGTAATCCATTCATCTGACATGTTTATGCTATCTTAAAGTTTCTGTTTCTTTTTTTCTATGTTATTTTGCTAATTTTGTATACTCAACAATAATTTGGAACATAGACATCTAGTTTTAAAATTTAACTGATTTAGTAGCTTTTTTCTAATATATTTATGGTGGTAAAATATACATAAAATCTACCATTTTAATCATTTTTTAATACATAGTACAGAGCATAAAGTACTTTATTCACAGGGTTGTATAATCATCACACCATCCATCTAAACTGAAACTGTACCTATTAAATAGTAATTCCCATTTCTTCCTAACCAACCTGTGGTGACCACCATTCCTACTTTGTCTCTATGAATTTATAGGTACCTCTTGTAAGTGAAATCTTATAAAATTTGTCCTTTTGTGACTGGCTTATTTCATTTAGTGCAATGTGTTCAAGGTTCATTTACAGTGTAGCATGTGCCAGAATTTCATCCCTTAAAATTTTTTAATTTAGATTTTTAATCTTTATTATTGTATGTATAGGTCACATTTTTATTTATCTCTTCATCAGTTGATTGACATTTGGGTTCATCTCTTCATCATTTGGGGTGTTTCCACCTTTTGCCTATTGTAAATAATGCTGCTGTGAAGAAGGGTATACAAACATCAGTTCAAATGCCTGATTTTAATTCTTTTGGGTATATACTCAGAAGCAGAAATGCTAGATCATACAGTAATTCTTTTTTAAAAAGTAATTTTTAGAAACATTTTATTTATTTATCTTTAAAGAGGGGAAGGCAGGGAGAAAGAGAGGGAGAAAAACATCAATGTGTGGTTGCCTCTCACATATGCCTCCTACTGGGGACCTGGCCAGCAACCCAGGCATGTGCCGTGACTAGGACTCAAACTGGCATTTAATCCACTGGGCCACACCAACCAGGGCATAGATCATATAGTAATCCTATTTAATTTTCAGAGGAACTATTATACTATACTGTTTTCCATAGCAAATATGTCATTTTAAATTCCTACCAGAAGTACACAAAAATTCCAATTTCTCCATATTCTTACCAATTCCTGTTATTTTCTGTTTAATAGCCATCCTAGTGAATATGAAGTGGTATTGATTGTGGTTGCTATTTGTGCTTCCTTCATAACATGACGTAGAGCATATTTTCATGTTCCTTTTGACCATATGTATATCTTGGAGAAATATTCTGCGTCCATTTAAAACTTATATTTTGTTTTACCGTTGTTGTAAAGCTGTCAGAGTTCTTATATCCTGGATATTAATTCCTTACACCAAATATCTGATCTGCAAGTTTTTTTTCCAAATTCTGTATTACCTTTTTACTCTGTGAATAGATAGTGTTTTTGTTTTGTTTTGATTTTACTTCCACGGGTAGTGTTTCTTGATGGGACATA